AAGTATTTTAACGTTGATAAAACTAGGTATAGATAACCGTAATAGCATAGGTAATAGCGTTTTTCCCATGTGACTGTACTAGTACACACTATACGTGAACACTGAATCACATAATTGCCCACACGGTATCGACCAGTGCACACCGGACAGTGTACACCAGTGTGTACTAGTGCAGTCAGATTTTATGGTTAAGTTACAATAATTATCAATATTAAGGAACCCTTGAAACCTCAAAAAATTTTTACACTTTATCCATAGTGATAAGCCGATGTTTTTATCTTATCTTTATAAAATCTATGATACGACAGTTTTCGATACCGTGAACCAGTCGTATAATTATAACGTATTATTTAGTTTTATTTAAACATAACTTAACAAAAAGAAACAGCTTGACGTGTCAATACTAAAAGGAGAGTTGAGAAACCGCTTTTACCATCATTTCTATTTTAATGTTTTTTTTTTATTTTATATTATCTTAAAAAAATATCTTTAAGTCAGTAAGCACGACATTACATAGAATTTCTATCTAAAGTGTTACCTACAAGATATAACGTTCACAGTAATATTATAAAGCTATATTTCAACTATAAATTTTTATTATTCTATTTTATTTATTTTTTTTTTATTTAAAAAAAAAAGAAGTATTCATGTTAAATTTAATAAATAGTACTTACATGTTTGTAGAAATTGAAGTATTGAAAGTTTTTTTGTCAATCTTTCGAGTGGCTGCTATTTGTTGATGGCTGGCTGTTGTTTTTAGAGAAGACTGTTATGCTGCTGAGTGCTGACTGCTCTTGGAACTGGTGGTGCCGGAACTGATAACGATAAGCTAACAAATTCTGTGTTTTATACCCGAAAATAACCCTCTCTTTTCTCATTACAAATTTTTTTGAGATGGATTAAGCATGTATTTCATATACTGTTTTCATATTATATGACATTGACATTTAGTTATGTAATAACATTTGACTGGTTATGTTGTCAACAATTTAAATTCATATAATGTAATTGTTTTTTGAGAATGAATGTATACATTCTAATTTATTTTAAATCATATTTGCAATAATTTAAAATTCATATAATGTGCTGTTGTATATGAACATGATCCAACAGGTTTCTAAGGTAAGGTTATTATAGTTATGTGTTCAATGAGGGTATTGACTATGGCAAATGATAAATGTCATAAACATTTGGCTGAGCAGGTTATGTTAGCAACAATTTAAATTCATACATATAATACAATTTGCTGTTGTACCTATATGAACATGGGCTAACAGGTTTCTAACAAATAAGGTTATTATAGAAATGGAACCAAGCCATTGCTATGAACATTTGTATTGAAGTAGTGGTAAAATCTGTGTATAAAATACTGAGGGAATTCAATAATATTCACCAGTCTTCAAGATTTCATACCAGGACAAGCAGCTCAGTTCAACAGAGATACTACCAAAAAAAGATGTCGTACCGTACAATGGCTTCAAACTGATTCAGAGGTTTGTAACTACTTAGTAAATATCTTATAACCAAAGCAAATTGGAGGTCAGACGTAACACTACTCAAAGCTATGGTTGTATTTTTTAAAATAATATTTAATGTCTGGTTATAACATAGTTTAAAAAACCTAAATAGTAACTGAAAACATATTGGATACATTACTCAATGCTTTGGTTATAATTCTTAGAAAATAAATAATGAAAAAAACAGTAAAAAAATAATATACTATGTCTTATGTTTCATAGAATGAACATTTCAACGAATCAATTGATATGAGACCATCATTTTCAAAACCTGGTTCAAAACGTGCTGCAGAAAAAACAAGTGCGAAAAAACCTATGAAAAAAAGCAGAATAAAATGGTAATATAAATAATATTTTTATAATGATAGCATAAATAATTTAATTTTTTTTTATAGTGTGCGTCATACAGAGATAATGTTACCGAACGTTTGAGATCAGAAGAATTTGATGCCGAGGTATTTAATTCACTGACATTTAGACAAAGGAATGGGATAGTTACAATAAAAACACCTTTTGAAGAAAAAGGCAAGGACCTTTGGGTAATTAGTCACTATAAGGTTGCTAACATTGAGAATGTACCAGTAAAAGACAGGTAAATGCATTGGTTTAAATTTAAAATATTGATTAATCTGTTTTTTTTTCACTGATTTTATTTACTTCTTTTGTTTTTAAAATAAATAATTGTAGATGGAAGTTCAGTGAAGCTACTGTCAGATTGTTCACGAGCGACGAATCAAAAGATCAAACGCTTCATACTGGTCTTAATGAGACAATGCAAACTATATTTGGTAAATTACTAACCGATCCGAAGCGTCAGACTATTAAAAGCAAGAAACGGTTTGATTATTATATGAAAAAATGAGTTTCATGTAATAAACAAAATATTATTATGCATGTATTTTTGTATTTATTCAAAACTTAAAGGTTTTGGAAAAACATAAACTTATAACTATGGCTGGTTGGAAAAATTTAAAATACTAACAAATTTAATCTACTTTTAAAACATAATATTAAAACTAAAACTTATTAAAACTATTATTTTTGATTTAAGGTGGCATGTAATTAAAAAAAGCAGTTTATATGAAAAGTTTTATTAAAAAAACCAATAATTATACATATTTAAATATTTTTTTATAATATTAGATCTTGCAAAATCATATCGGACAATGTGTTAAAATGGAATTGTAATATTTCCATAATAGAAATGATGTTCATCGTTCTGTAGGTGATTAAATAATTAAATCATAGTTTGAATATATTGGTTGGTAAATTCGTTCCTCTGACAGGTGGACGGTAGACCACGGACATCATTTTTAATTAGGTCATATGCAGTGTTAAAAGTAATTTGATATTTGCTACACGTTTTTTCTTTCTACCACGTACAAATCTATCAAATTCTGTATTGACGAAGTCGGTACAATCTACATGTGACAAGGTAATGTATTCCTCATTTAGATGTAGGGTAATTAAACTCTGTTTAACATTGGTTGAATATGAAAAGGAATCGGTGATTTTTACACGCCTCACCCTAGTATTTAAATTATTAATAATTGAATTGTATTAGGTCAGACATCAGTGTAAACCATTCTTCTAAACTTATGTGATAATTTTCTTTGTAAGTTTACATTCCAATAATAAATTAATTGAAATCTGCTTGTTAATTAGTAATCCAACTGTAATACTTTTCTTGTTAAAAGCCCGGATGTCGAATGTAGACTTACAGACAATTATTGGTGAACTCATAGTGAAGTTATTTTTGTCAAATTTAAAAAAAAAATCTTTTATAAATAAGAAGTGGGATATAACTGTTAGGAGTTATACATTGAACTGTGTTGTCCCTGTGCAGTCATATTATATACTAAAAAACTCTTTGGAAAAAATGCAAAAAATGTGAACATACAGATAGCCAATGAGTGCGTACAAGAGAGGGAATTTACATATACTTACTAACTGTTACCTGAAAAACATTTTAAAATGATCTATACGCACTAATTCGCTAGGACTGTATGTCCACGAGATATTAAATCGAATATTAACACATTTAAGATAAAAAATTCAATTTTTTTTTATTTTTTTTTTATCCAATACAGCAAATATTATAAGCAGCATAAATAAATATATGTATATATAAACATTTAAAAAAACAAACATGATTTAACAAATGGTAATCGTAAAAACCGGTTTCACAATTACAAATAACTTCGGTTTTACATATTTACTTAAGACTTTTTGAACAAACTGATTTCCTTTCATTAACAATACAAATAAACATCTAGGTGAGAATCGAGTATGTTCTATGAAACAATTATCACCGATTTCAAAACTATGTAGAATTATTCCACACCAATGACATTGAACTGCATCGTCGAGATTGATATAGTAAAAACCACATACCGAGAGTTTGTACTTATTCTGTCCGTATTTGAAGGGAAACTTCTAAAAGTTCGTAACCTCGATACAAATGTAGTGAATTCTGGATACGCTGGCGTTGAATTGAATCGTATTTGATCGACCAATGACTGGATATCGTTTGTGCATTTTTGAAAATTCATTTTTGAAGAAATTAAATAACTTATACAATTTAGTAAACTGTGAGAAATAAAGAAAAATGAGACCAACTTGAAGGAACGATAGTTCATTAGTACGGAATATAATAAAAAAAAAAATAATCAACTTCAAAATTATTGTAAATTTGTTTATCAAATTTTAGATAAAAAAAACAGTGTAACCAACACGAGTAAAAAAGAAAAAAATATTAAATATAAATATTAAATATTTTTTTACGTGAGACGAAATTTGGTAGTCAATCAGTGTAAAATTTGTAACACGGTAAATCTGAGTGCTCCAAGGGGACATTCCCCCCTTGAACTTTTTTTTTTAACTGGAAAAGCTGGCTGTGAACATACAAATATATACTGCTAATTTTTTCATATTTACAAGCGTTAAATAAGCATCGATAACATAATCATGTATGTTAGTATCAATATATAATTTATTTATTTCATTTACTGTAAGTATTATATTATCGTTTCTATCAGTATTCAATATTGCTTCTAATTCAGCTAATGCATAAATACCAATAGGTATTTTATGCATTGTATTTGAATTTACATTTTCATTATATTTTAATCTGACATTCTTTCTTTATATTTATATATTGATCATTAGAAGTAGGAACATACATTGCTGATTTATTAATAGTTAATAAAAAATCAATTGTTATCAAGGGCGCCCGCAGAAATTTTCACCGGGGGGGGGGGGGCAAAGTTTATATTATACATATATTATACATAGCCATAACATATTATTAGGTATAGTATTTTATAGTTTCATTACAAACTTAGTAAACAAACTGATGACACCATAATATGATTAACAGTAGGTATATTTTCATCAAAATATTATATGAGACATCAAGAGCACTGAAAAAAAAAAAAAATCTTATAAATTATTATATTATATTAACTAATTAGATTAATTAGATTATTGGTCATTAAATAAAAATTGCATGCGCCTAGGCTCCATAGCAAATAATTTTATTGTTTCATCTATAATTTTTGATTTTTGAGCTTGCACATAAGTTTTGTAAATATTCATTAATGCCAAGCCATTCAAGCGGTTCTCAGTTACAGTACTACGAAGCCATGTTTTAAGTCTTTTAAGTGAGCTAATTTAAAGCAAATATAAAACATAATTAATAATTGAAGTAGTAAAAATAAAAAATATATATTATAAATTGTAATACAAACCTAAAAGACCTTTCAACGCTACATGTAGTAGATGGAAGTGTAGCTGCTATTAAAATACATTTTTTTATTGAAGGTAGAAATGTGACTTCATCTAATAACTTCAGAAAATCTATATTGTCATCATTTTTTTCTTTCCACATATTGTACCATACTAGGCCTTCTTCTTCAATATTCTCAATGAATTCTCCATAAAATGATTTTAGATTCTGGAGTTGTATGATAAATTCTTCTTTTTTTGTTTGTTTTAAGTACTTAGGATGAACTGAAATGATCTCATATTTTGAATTATCCTCTGGGAACCTTTCATTTAAAGATGTGATCAGTGAATCTAAATATGGTATATAAATAGATTTTCTGTAGTAGTCTTCTGGACCTGATGAAGGGGGGTTATTCCTTAAAGTTTGTTTTGAGGATACTCTTGGAGTCATTAATGTAATACCAAGTTCATTTAAGTACATATTAATATCTTTCATTAAAATTGGAAACATTTCTTCGTTATTAGCTCTGTCATCACTGATATATTTAATAAGGTCTTTAATATGTTTATTTGCACTAAATAAATCACAATTTATTCCCTGTAAAGAATTGGTTATAGGTTCTATAGTTGCAGAGTATTTAGCAATTATCCTAAGGCACACAATAAATTGAGATGTGGTAACAGAATTTAAATGACATGTAGCTTTCAATGATGTATCTTTATTCCCATTTACTTTGAGATACTCTAGTGCTTCTACTATCAACAGGAAATTTTCATAATATTTTCTTAATGCCTTATGTGACTCCGACCACCTAGTAACACACAATTTCGTAAGACTTGGAGCAACTATTCGACGCAATGAACTTTCTTTAAAAAAGTTTATAGTTTCTTTAATAATACCAATTGTATTCCGAACACATGGAACTGAGTTCAGTTCGTTTAAAACCAAGTTTAATCTATGACTAGCACAATGGACAAAAACTGCTTTCTTATACTTGTCTCTTATTCTTTTTTGTACACCACTGACATGTCCAGCCATTGTGCTAGCACCATCATATCCTTGTCCTACCAATTTATTTAGGTCCAAACCCCATTCTTGTAAACTAGAAATAATTTTGTTTGATATACTTTCTGAGTCCAATTTTTCCAATGAAATAAACCCAACAAAGTCTTCTTTTATAACTGTTTGGTTGTTTTCATAAGTCACGTATTTTAAACATATTGATAATTGTTCTATTCCCGCTATATCCATTGTTTCATCTGCTAATATTGAATAACATTCAGCTTCCTTGACACGTTTTAAAATCATATTACATATTACATTACCTATTATACTTATAAGTTCATTTTGTATTCTATGAGACATGTAACTTGCATTTTTAGCACTATTTTTAAAATGATCATTCAAAATTTCATCTCCACTTTCAACCCTAAAATGTAGTAAATTATTAAATATAGCTGTGTCATCAGTTTTTCCTCTCAGTGGTATTCCATGCACACCAAGGAAAATAATAGAAGAAATTATTGAATGCAGTTTACGATTGTTTGATTCAATTACATTTTTCACTGACGAATTTAACATTTGATGTACATCTATTTTTTTACCATCCATAATAGCTATAAAATTTTTAGCACTCTGTACTGAAGATATATGCCAAGAACATTTTGAATGTATCTTTGACTGAGCTTGGAAATGTTTGTACTTAATAAACGCTGTTTTTATGAATGCGCCTTGCACTCCACCTTTGTCAATCGGTGGTTCAAACAAAACACAAAATTTGCAAAAAGCTCCTTTAAAAATGGCTGAGTAGCAAAGCCAATCATACTGTTTAAGCCAAGCTAACAAAAAAGGTCTTTTACCAACACTAATATCTGCTTTAAAATCATAAGCACTACAAGGGTTCCATGGAGACATAAGCATTTCATATTTTAATGTATTGTCAACAGACTTACCAAGAAAAAGACCAATATCATGTTTATTATTTGCTTGCATTTGAATAATATCCTAATAAAAATTCATAAATAATAAATATAAAATATAAATACTTAATAATTATTTATTAGGAAAAAATCTTATGAGTAGGTACCTGTAGTTTAGAAGGTGCTACTTCACATTTTGTGTCCAAACTTGTTAATGTTGGAGTAGATATTTGACCATCAGTTGTACTTCTGTCGTCATCATTTTTTGGTATTTTACAAACAAACTTATCCATAAATGTATTTTTTCTTTTTGGTGGATTCATCTTAATATTAATACGTTAAGGTTATAAATATTAAATAATACAAATTTGAAATTGTAATTCACATTTTACAAGCCAAATAAAATATAAAATATAAATTGAATTGATTAGTGATTACTGTCACAAGATCACGGACTAAGATATACAGGACTGGACACGAGATGAATATTGTGGTTACGAAATGTTTTACAACAGGCGGAGTTCGGGGGGATATTTTCCTTTTAGCATTACTAGCGCCGTCTTAGTGGATACTTATGGAACTAGATCACATTATTGTCATCTAGTTCCAAAAGTATCCACTAAGACGGCGCTAGTAATGCTAAAAGGAAAATATCCCCCCGAACACTGCCTGTTGTAAAACATTTCGTAGTCAACCCCCCCACACCCTCCAACCTTGTCGTGTCCAGTCCTGTATATCTTAGTCCGTGCACAAGATAGTACTATCTTAAATCGTGATTACAGTCAATCAGACATTAGAATTTTAGATCATTTAGACCACGGTCGCGGTAACACGTTATCACACAGAACAATTTTATCACTAATCACTTATGGTTAATCAATTATCAATCTATTTTATTAAAATAATAAAATGCTACAAAACTTCTAAAATATTTATAAAAATATACTGTAATATTATAAAAATTAAAAACATTGGTAAAAAAGCGGGGGGGGGGCCATGGCCCCTCCCGGCCCCCCCCCCTGTGGGCGCCCTTGATTGTTATGTTTTGAAAGCCTAAATAATTTTTTAAATTTTCATTTAAATTATAATAACAAGGAGATTTTATTTCAATTTTTTTATTAACATAAGATAACACTAAAGGTTGAAATTGTTTGTTTAATTCATTAATACTATATTCTCCTTTTTTATTTCTATAAATTTATCATTAATTTGTATTTTACAATCTGTTTCAACATTAAACCAATTTAACCCTTTAATAAATATTGAATCCAGACCTATTTTATAATTATTATTATTATAATATTTGTTTGATAAATAAATACAACCGTTTTCAACTTTTATAAATACCATTTATAAAAGTAATTATATATATTTATTATAATTATATAATTATAATATATTATTATTATTTAATTCAAATTGTATCAATTGCTTTGTGCTTCCGTTATCTAAATTGTTGAAAGTGAAGGTTGATGGACTAATGATGTTAGCATTAATATAATAAGTAATAACACGACAATATGATTATGTATAAGTATAATATATAATAACGTACAACTGGACAATTAAACTGTGACAGTACACACACATCGTATACGCTCTGTACAACGACGCCTGTGCAAGTGAATATTACATACATCAAAGGCCCTATATATATGCACGACCGAGGTCATGTTACATCCGTAAAGAGAGTGAGTCTTATGCTCGTACATAACTAGTTACTATATTGTACACACGTGTCAAGGCTGACTACATATACTACATATTAATTGTATATTTCAACATACATTTTGCAATTTATTATAAATAAGATTACATTTTTTCGAACTTAGATTATATAATGAAATATTTTCTTTTGTAAACACATCTAAAAATCTATCTGGTAAAAATACTTGTAATTTTTTATATAATATAACAACTATTGCCTTACCATAAATTGTATCAATATATTTGAAACGAGTAACCTCATATTTTTTTTCTTTTTCTAAGTCACATACTTTTACAAAATCATATTGATCGTTGCATTTATTTAAAAGTGTTTTCAAATTTTCCATTTCTATTATTTATTATAATAGAGATGTATATTTTTTTTAATCGCCTATTTAAATTATATTTATTTCTAAATAACATAACAATGTTAATCTTTACGGTCAGACAGACAGACAGACAGACAGACAGACATAATAACATTGAACGTCCGTCTGTCTGTTCGTACGTTTCATGAACCATGTGAGTCCGGTTTTTTTTTTAATAATAATATATATATGTCAGACACTTTGATGTATGTTTTAATAATTCGATGTTAAAAAAAATATTTTCTAATATAAATAATAGAAATGGAAAATATGAGAACACTTTTAAATTTGATTGAACAACAACGTACAATTCTAAGACCTATGTTTAATGATAGTGACATTGATATTGATATTGATTCTGAAATTAGTAATATGTTATGGAATCATATAATGGGTAATTGCTGTTTCGAAAATCTTTTAAAATATAAATATCACAAAAAACATAATCAATTAAAATCATTTAACTTCCATTTAATTAGTAATTGTTGTTTCGAAAATATTTTAAGTTTTATTAAAAATAAAAATTATAATGAAATTAAACTTTCACTAAACGAACTACGTAAATGAATACAAGATGAATTACATAATAATAATATGTAGCTAGACTGATTATTTTTTAACATATGGTATTGAATAGCTTATCTACTGACTACTATACACTGTGAGTATATTATAGTATACAGTGTGATATAATTATACTAGCTTAATGGTGATGATAGACACACAAAAAAAACGTTCTAAAATAAATACATTCATCGCTCAACTCAGAATCTAAAATTACAATATTATATTTTTTTTTAAATTTAATATTCATGCAATAATTTATTTTATTTTTATTTTATTTAAATTTAAATCTATGAAATTACTGTGCCTCACTGAGACATACTCGTGCGGAGGCCCAGGGTTATCTACTATACATAACACATTTGCATAAAAATTATAATTGACAAATATCTACAATATTTGTGTTTGAAATTAATATCCTAATTATACAATAAAGGTAAAAACAAAAACAAAAACAGATAAAGTAAGTTATTGGTACAAAATAATTAATGACGAAAATAATACTAATATTATAAATATAGACATGGAAGCAATAGGTAGCATAAGATTCTGAAAGATAATATGTGTGTGAATATAGTGGCATATTTTTAATCCTATTTAGTGACGTCACATTCATACATTAACCAGTGTGTGATATGTTTCTTAAACAATGGCAATGGCATGTTTGCTAAATAAGTTGGCATTGAATTGAAAATCTGGGTCCCTATGAAATCAAATACCATTCGACAGATGGTTTTTTTTGGCCAAAATTGAGAGTATTTATATAGTGCGTACCTAGTATTGACACCATGGTTCAAAGGGAACAGTATATTGTGTTTTTTTATATACAAAATGATTATTTTAAAGTACAGGTTTTTAATATTTAATACATTAAACTCTTTAAATATTTTTTCGGTTGGATATCTACAGTCTTTTTTAATTGCAACTTTGATAATTGTGTTTTGACAGGTTGGAAATAGGGAGAGAATATTATCATAGACACCACCCCAACCTATTAAACCATATGTGAATTGCGATTCAACAAGAGCTAAGTAAAATATTCTAATGTCTTTAGGTGGTAGAATATCACGAAGTTGTTTTATTATATAAATTAATTTTTTTAACTTATTGCAGACACGAAGACTCCCGGGTTTTATTGCCTAAAGGCTACAACCGCGTACCTTCTATCAGCGCTGAGCACTAGTCAAGAGACGCGGAGGCATCAGACGCCGAGCCCGGTCTTACCCGAAGCCCGGCGACTGGCCGCCAGAGGTGGACGGCACACCGGCTGTGGCCGCTACCCGCCTACCATTAAAGCGACCGGTTCTGCGTGATCGCTGTCCCCGGACGCCCGCCGGTTACGGTGTGTGCCGCCTACACCAGCGAAAAGACCAACAACCCGCTCGAATCCGACTCCAACGGATTGGAAATCCGATTGGCCGGGCGGGAAGCATTCCTGGCTCGAATACTTCCCTGGGCTAACCCGGCCCCCGAGCTACCGTTCCTACGTGTCAACGGTTGTACATACTTCGGCAGCCACCTCCGCCTACCAAATTAAGGGGGGGCACCCTACAGACAAGCCGTCAGCTGCAAGTCCGATCCATCTCCGCTATGCCCGCATCGACTTCACGAGCCTGACTGATACTGAGACGCTTGGCTGAAGGTCGGAGCAAGCTCCGGCACCCGTGTTACCTGCACACGCTGGAAACACCGCTGCTGGGGTCGGTTGCCCCAGCAACGACCGTGAACCGATCCGGTGGGCACACCACCCGGGACTACGGGTCATTTGATCGGAGCTGTCTGCGGCGCGTCGTTATAGTTGGGGCACCGAGAGAACGCTACTGGGCGGCGACCAAAATACGTCCGTTTTCGCGCATTCCCACCACTAAACCTAGCCGAATGCTGGCCGCCGTTAATGCGAGCCACCGCCACCGACGCCGCCTACCACCACTGCTGCCGTCGTTCTGGTCACGTGTTCTTATAGTGGTGGTGTTGTATACAGCGTTATTAGCGATTTCAAGTATCTCACGTTTTGTCATACATACAATATTCACCAACTTTTTTTCTCCGCGTTTTTTTAGCATACCATTGCTTATAAGTATTTTTAGTATTGTGTATCTTACTATCTTAGAGTACTTAATACACCATGGATCTCGTCGATATATCGCCTTCCAAAAAAAATCCTCGTGGAAATGTAAGTATTATTATTATGTTGTATTATTATTTTTCTATAGCAAAATTCTTAATTTATTAATTTTATTAATTTATTATTCTTTAGTTTGTTGGTACTGGTCAAAAGCAAATAATCATTAATCTGTACAAAGATAAGATCAAACAACAACAAGAAAACCCAGACAGCCCCAAATTGACCTACAGACAAATGCTGTTAGAAATCTCTAAATCAAGTGGTATTGGGCAACGGACGATACAAACGACATTGGCTGAATACAAAAAAAAAGGTACAGTTTCATCACCTAATAAAAAAAAAATTAGACCTACAATACTCGAAAAAGTAGATAGTTTTGACAAACAAGCTATCAGACGAAAAATACATGGCTTTTGGTTGAATCGTGAAGTTCCTACTATACAAAAAATGTTGATAGCTATTAATGAAGATGAAACTCTACCAAACCTCAAACGTTCTTCATTTCGTAAAATATTAAAAGATTTGCATTTTGTTTACGCGAAAAAATCCCGCAATAGTGCGCTTATTGAAAGAGAGGACATAATTATTTGGCGTGGTAAATATTTAGATCAAATAAGAAAATACAGATCACAAAACAGACCAATATACTACCTTGACGAGACGTGGGTAAACGCAGGTGAAACCCATAGCAAAGCATGGCACGACAGTACGGTCAATTCACCTCGCGAAGCATTCCTCACAGGGCTCACAATGGGACAAAAGGAACCCTCGGGAAAAGGCAAGAGACTCATTGTGTTACACATAGGATCAACTGACGGTTTCGTACCGGGTGGCCTTTTATGTTTTGAGTCAATAACCAACTCATCGGACTATCATGATGAAATGAATGGCAGTACTTTCTTTGAATGGTTTGCAAAAATGCTGCCGTTACTTAAAGAAAATGCTGTCATAGTGATGGACAACGCCGCCTATCATTCTGTGAAAAAAGATCGTATTCCAGTGATGTCATGGAAAAAGCAGGAAATAATAAATTGGCTGGAAAGTAAGGGCGAGAACATTACTTATCCAACAACAAAAGGGGCATTATTGTCTAAAGTCAGAACAATACATACGGATGACCATGAGAAATACGTTATTGATGAGTATGCGAAAGATAACAATAAAACAGTATTAAGATTGCCCCCGTACCACTGCGAGTTGAATCCTATAGAACTAGCATGGTCGTCTGTTAAGAGGTATGTCCGTACTCACAATACTACCTTTAAATTAAAAGATGTAAAAGAATTGCTGAAAAGAGGCGTGGAACTAGTAACACCGGAAATGTGGACGAATTTCGTTGGGCACGTCATCAAGGAGGAAGAAAAATTTTGGAAAATCGACAACATAACAGACGATTTTATGGACGAAGAACCTGAAGAAGGAGCACGTCATATCCTAACAATAGGTGATACAAGTTCGGATTCTGACTCGGATTAATTTCTTTGTATTTGAATTATTTTATTTTTTAGTATTATTTAAATTTTATTTTGATCAAATATATGTTGGAATAAATAAATAAACACATTTATAAAATATTTATGTCAGTTGTCAAGAGTTATTATTTTCGTTTTACTTGAGCCGCTGTATACAGACACTTGTTGCTTCTCGACGGCGGCGGCTGTCTAATTAGTTGACGATCATTGAGTGGGGGAAATTACGGCGGCCAGTGGTCACGGAAACACGGAGCTCGTTCATTTAGATGCGCAAAGGAGTAGCGTTCTCTCGGTGCCCCAAGTATAGTTATTAACGCGCTACCCGACCCGAGACGAATCCCGGGGGAACCGGGCGTTCCACTATCCGCAACCCGTGGTCGGTTTCGCTAGATCTTATTGCAGACACGAAGCTCCCGGGTTTGGTGCCTTGCGGCTACAACCGCGGACCTTTTATTAGCACTTGGTGCTAGTCAAGGGCCGTGGAGGCTTACGGGCGCCGCCCGCCGAACCTCCCCACAGCACTTTCGTGTCTGACATGGCCCGAGGGTCGGCGGGACTGACGGCCGCACGTCGTCTAGGGACCACGAGCACCGGACGCGCACGGGGGAGTTCCCCGGGGCGCCCGTACCATCCGGCTAGGGCATACAGGTGCCTTTCGCCACCCTGGTGAGGCCGCAATCTATCCACTTTGCTTTCCGTTTTTGGTCACGGACAACCTTCGCTGTATATAGCTCCAACGATAAGCTGGGTGAGCGCTAAGGAGGGCTGTGCTTTCCCGGCCGACTGTCGCCGTTCGAGTCCGCCCAGTCCAGTCACTCGGCCGCCTTCCCCTGGCCAAGCGTGTGGCCTTTAACCACATAGTATGCTCCTGCAAACTGCCACTTCGAAACCAATCCGCCGACGGTCGAGGCAGTGTCCACCACGACCGACGTGTGAGGGCTCGATGTTAATCTCTCAACACCGAGGGGCCCCCTCACATCCCGAAGCACCATTCTCACCTCCCGTAAGGTAAGGCACATCATTGGTAGGATGCTCGGACGAAGCTTCGTCGGCGAGATGCCTCAGCTTATGATCCTCCCGAGATTTGGGCCGTGTACCACGGGCTCACGGTAGGCCCAACTCCGCCTCCCAGAGGCGTCACCAGGTTTCTAAGCCCAGTGACCGACCCGCTCTTCTCGAGGTCGCGGTCAGAACCTCGATCTACGCCCCAAGGCGTCACCAGGTGGCTAAGCCCAGTGACCGACCCGCTCTTCACGAGGTCACGGTCAGAACCTCTCAACGCCCTAGTCCCCGTAGGTTTCGGTGCGTCCGCGCCCCAGGCGCCGGCCCCGTCTGGCCCGTTCCCTTTAAGTCGCCTCGTACGACAAGCAGGGAATACTGGGGTAGTATTCTCCAAGGCCCCCACCCCAGGGCCTGACTACACGTCCCTGACGTATGAGCGCATCCCGGGTCAGGACGCACTCGAGCGTGTCTCACCGCTTCTGCCACTTACGCCATATGCACTCATTCGAGACACCCCGAGTGCTGTGCCATCCGTCGTTGACGGTGGCCGCGTCCTGACCCATGCAGGTCTTGTGACCTAAGCTTGTGTCCGTTTTTTCTTTTTCCTTTACTTTTTCTATCGATCACTTCTATTTGTTAAGGCTTCCCTAGCGAATACAACCAAGGCCTCGTACGTTCTTTTGGTTTTAAGGAACGCTCCTTTTTCAGGCGGCCATCTCTCGCCCTCTTCTGATAGCACTTTTTTCAGTTTTCTCCTGGCCGCTATCGTTCTGGGACAGAACCTGAGTACGTGCCGGACCGTTTCTGGATTCCTTCCACACTCGCACGTGGGGTCCCTTACCAGATTGAACTTGTGTAGTTTGCCGTAGAAATCGCCATGGCCTGTTAAAAACTGGGTGGTGTAATGATCCAGTTCTAGGGGCAGGCTGTATCGCGTGTGGACAGAGGGGATCATGTACTTCGTCCAGCTGCCTTTATCACTACCATCATAGCGAATCTGCCATTCCTCATGGAAGCCATTGAGTCTTCTATCGAACTCCTCAGTCGTTATACTATTTACCCTGAGTTCGCGTTTGTTGACGTTATGTCAGATTTCAAGGTCAAGTGGTAGTGTACCCGCAACCACTGCAAGGCAGTTCGTTGAAGCCGTCTTATATGCACTTGTGATGGCTAGCAGCGGGGCTCTCTGTGCGCTGTTTAGCACCTTCTGGCTTTTTACTAACTTTGTGCCGTCCTTCCACGCCTCAGCCGCATAAGTTATTCTGGGCAAGAAGACGCCTTTGTAAATGATACGTGCTGTGGTCCTGCTAAGTCCCCAGTTTGCCGACCTGAGTGCCCTTAGTCGCCTATACATGTCTTTTGACTTTTTGCTGATGGCCTCTATGTGAGCCCAGTAACTCCGCCTGGGGTCCAGGATAACACCCAAATATTTCGCCGTTGCAGTCGATTCGATTCTGGCGGCGTCAGGCGCTGTACCAAAGCCGACGGAGTATCCCGGTTTGAGGCCGCCTTTTATTGACAACAGTTGGCTTTTGCTAGCCGAGAATTCCAGCGCATACAAGGATGCCCAACTTGACAGAAGGTCGAGTGCACCTTCGATCCTTTTGAAGGCGGTTGGTGGTCTCGCGGCTCCGACCAATAATAGTATGTCGTCCGCATATGTTATTATTTTCATTGTGGCACCCTTAGCCGTGCTATATATGGGGGTAATGGCCACTTTCCACAGCGTGGGCCCTAGCTGGGATCCCTGCGGGCAGCCCCTTTCTAGCTTTTTGCTATAATGTACATTTTCCAACTCGTAATCGGCCCACCTGTTCGTCAGGTACGAGTTCACAATGCTAAGGGTGTTTAGTGACGCACCCAACGTCCTCAGTTGTTCCAGTAGCGGTGCCCACTTAACATTGTCGAATGCACCAGCTATGTCAAGGAAAGTCCCGAAAACGTGCCTAGCCTTGGAGGCATCGACCCACGTATATAGATTTTCAATGGCAGTTGACGTGGATTTGCCGATGGTGAACCCGTGTTGCTCACTGAACGAGTTAAGGTTGGTCTCTGTATCGATTGCCTTTATTATTAAAGTTTCCAGTGCTTTGCCCAATACTGGAAGGAGGCTTATCGGCCTGTAGGATTTGGGTCTGTCCTTCTCACCACCGCCGGGCTTGGGAATAATCACCAGTCTGGCCTTTTTCCATGGCTCAGGAAATTTACCTTCTGATAAACATCTACCGAACAGGTCGGTGATCGGCCCCCAGAGAACTTGCCATGCCTTCCTTAGCATCCCTGCCGTTATTCCATCACCTCCCGGTGCACTGGAGGGCTTTATTCGCCAAATGGCCGCTTTAATGTCAGAAGGATCGGGTCTCTCCTTAACTTCCAGAGGGCCGATGTGTTGCCAGTCACCCTGGTCAGGGTCCGAGGGTACAAACGTGTTCAATATGAGCTCCGCTGTTTCACGGCAGTCTCTCGTGCTGTTGCCGTCTGGGCAAATTAGGGTGCTAGGAACGGAGTTATCCCTTTTACTGCCGCTCTTCGCCCATTTGAAAGCCTTGCCCCACTGTTTCTCATTTATGTCATTGGCGAACACTTTCCAAGCGGCCATTTTTTGTTTTCTTATTTCTGTTAGAAAATTATTACGCATGGCGTTGTACACAGGACGGTCTTGCGCTCTAAGGCCTTGTCGCCTGGCTCGGGTCAAGTCCCGTCTCAGAGTCGAGAGCTCGGGTGACCACCAGATATTTTTGCCCAGCGGATTTCTGGACCTACATTTTTCCATCGAACGATTTGCCGCTTGTTTTATTGCACGGTCAATGCCCTCTGCCATGCAGTTTATATCAGTTTCGGGAATGCCACCAACTTCCGCCGCAAGAGTGCTGCGGAACAAGTCCCAGTCTGCGGTGCGGACATTGAACCGAGGGGAGGTCGTTTTCTCCATTCGAGGTCCGTCTATGGCTAGCTCGAAGCTAAGCACCCTGTGATCACTGTCTGTGACATTTTTTACATCCCAGTTTTTTATCTTATTTTTTATGTCAGCGGTGGACATTGTAACATCAATGTTGGATGATCCCATATTTTCCCGGTCGTAAGTATTAATTTTACCTTGGACATTGTGGACCGTGAGTTCGTATTTCTCTATGAGTTCTTCTATAATCCTACCTCGTTTGTTTCTCTTCTGTGCGTGCCATAGCTTGGAATGGCCATTGGTGTCCGCGCCTACGAGGACCCGTTTTTCCTTGTTAAGGATCTGGTCCAAACGTTCGGTATGTAGGATGGTGGGAACATTGTACTTAAAGTACGCAGACACCAGGACTATAAAGTCGCGGGGCCCTTTGCCAAACGAGACTCTTATAACTGTGGCATAATTCGAGTTGTACGTACCAAGACTGATAACTTGAAATCTCTCCGTGAGGACAATTATTGCCGCACCCGATTTGCTGCTAAGATGGAATTGTCTGCAGTTTTCAAAGGCATAGATCCTGCCGTTCTGAACCAAAGGTTCTTGAATCAGGGCAAAGTCGACACGTTGGGCTCTGCACCACTGCCTTAGCTGGTGACTCGCTACTCTATCCTTGTTAAGATTATGTTGTACTATTTTCAGATGGCGCTGGTGGCTAGCCGTGCCGTCCCTGTTTAGGTTGTGCTGTAAGATACGTATGTCAGCACTCATAGTCAGTGTAAGTCTGCAGTTGCCTTATTCTGGACTCCCATTTTTTGCAGTCTTTCGACAAGGACTTGTGCCGCCCATTGCACTGTGCGCATGTGGGACTGCCCGAAGACTCAGGGCAAGACCTCTTGTCGTGACCTGTTTTGGCACAATGGAAGCAAGTGACCCCCTCTTGCACACAGTCCCTGGTCTTGTGTGTAAGAGAAAGACATCTTCGACAGTATGGAGCATCAATGAATGGCCTAGGGAAGGTTGATACCATGCCGATAAAGGTTCGTTTGTTTATTAGTTCTTTGTACAGACGCGGTGATAGCTCTATCACCCAGTCGGTGGTATCCAAGCCCCGCTTTCCGCATCTGAACAGCGGTCTGACTTCTGAGCTGTTAGCCCCTTCCGTATCTGTGTTCTGCGTGATGAGCGAGTCACTTATGAACGAAGCATCGTAGTCTGAAGGGATGCCTTTCATTTTAACTTTGGGTTTACGAGGTCCCGACTCGGTGATAGACAGACCGCCTGAGCCCGACAGGGATCGAATTGCATTTGCCGTTTCTTTGTCGGCTGTTGTGACAATGTAACTACCGTTGCTCAGTTTTCTGAAGCCGTCGACCTTCGGCTTGGGAATAGCTTTTATCACCTTCGTCCAGATGTCGTTACCGGACTCTGCGTCTATCACAAATGCCGGCTTAACTAACTGTTTCTTTGCCCTTTTCATTTTGGCGTCCCGGCTCTCCTTGGCGCTTTTAGGAGTTTTGGTCGGAGTAGGCCTAATCCTCGTCCCTAGTCTATCCTTAACGGGTTTCTTTTTCGTTATCGTAGCGTAGGTATTTGACGCATTAAGTTCAGTGTCTGACCCTTCAACTTCCATCACCAAGTCAATGGTCTCCGGCTGTTCTGAGGAGGTAGACGGGCCCTGATGGTCTATGACTATCGCAGTGTCCGGGTTGATCATTCTTAACTGATATTCGTTTCCCTGACGCTTTGGTTTCTTAGCAGGTTTCCTATTCGAGGCGTCTGTCATAGCCCTTACTGCGGCACTAAGTTCGGCGCTCATTATTTCCAGATGATCTTTACAGTTACAGTTACCCGCTGTCGATGGGGGGTGGTGACTGGACTCTGACCTTTCCCGCAGGGAAGAGACTTGTTCTCTGAGGGCTCCAACTTCGGTGCTGAGTCTTTCGTTATCTTTCCTGCAATCAGCAAGAACGCTATGCAACGACGAAGATTCACCAATAAGCTCAGACGCCTCTATATATATGCTCCTGCTGGTAATGACCAGTTTATCTACCAGATCCATGATGCTGTCTTGCCATTTTTTACCAATTCTGGTCTTGTCCACCATGGATATCAACTCAGCCTTTATGTCCTCGTATGTTTCATCTTGATATTCAAGGTGCCGGGACATCGCCTCGGCGTGTGTCTCATCAGGGACGCAAGTGCTCTTCCTTTTTCTAGGATTGGATAAGGGCAAGGGAGTAGGTGTAGAAAACATGTCCTCGTCACCAGCCCCGCCTCTAATTCTAAGCACTTGGGCTAAGTCCATGTTGGACCAACTGGTATCTGGCACCATCAAACCGGTGTTAAAGTACATGTCCATTTCGAGTGGGTAAGAGTCACCCCCACCCCTAAGTCTCAGAGGCTGCGGTCTGAAATTGTCAAATATCTTGCCCGAAGGCGCGTCAGGGATAATGTCATTTGATTTGTATAAGTCCGTGCAATAGTCAAGTTCACCCGCAGGTACGTCACCCAGGCCGCTCAGCTCTGGTCGATGATGGAAAGTGATCTGGCCCCCCCAAAATCCGTGGGCCAATGCTCCCGCAGGAGGTGAATTTACCGGCTTTGCCGGCTTATCACTTGGGGTAAATTCTGTTTTTATCACTTCCATCGTTGGTTTGTGCCGGGTGTCCTTCCCCTTGCGTTTTTGACCTGCCGCCAGGGAGCCCTGAACCCTCTGGCCCGCGTCGGGCTAGCCGCGGGTTCATTCGTTTTTGAGGTGCCTGGAATCCGATCCATTCCGGTGCCTGGCGCCTACGCCCGGAGTTGCCAACCTCCGGAAGTTCTCCCGACCGCAAACGGCTAAGTCCACGGCCGGGCTTTACCACCCGAGAACTGGCTAAGGTCCCCGGGCGATCCCCCAGCTAAGGGTTGTCGCCTGTACTCTGGTCCGCGACGGCCCTCAGACCCTGAGGTCAGGTTACGCCCACGATTCCTGCCAGCCAAAGGACACTGCAGCTGACTGGTGGTTTATCGCGGGTTGCTCCCGACCCGAGGTATAGGCACGCCGCTCGCGAGAGCACGACTTGGCGCCACGTAACAGCTCACGCGACGCCTGGGGTCCGTCACAACTAGTTTAAACGGACCCGATTTTGAAAACCTCTTAGCGACCGACCCATCTGTCGGCCGGGCGGGGTCACCACGTCAAGGTGGGTTTTCATCGACCCCGCTTATTGCAGACAGATGCGATTTGATTTACCCACTTCATATCAGAGCACATTTCAATACCTATACATTTGAAATTTTTTACTATATTGATTGATTTGCTGTGGCATAGGTCATGAATCTGACATGTATTATCGTGGATTTTAATTGAATTGAGGTTCGGTAAAGTGAACTTGGTGAGAGAATGTAGTATAATAGCTGATTTTCAAAATTTAAAAATAAGTTATTAACACCTAACCAGTTATCAATGATTTTGAGGTCTGTCTCAATATTATTAAAAACTTTGTTCCATGTATTAGCTATGCAAATTAGTGCAGTATCATCAGCGTAGCATATTACTTGAATTTTTAAATTAAGTGTTTTTATATCATTCAGTTGGATATTAAATAAAGTAGGAGATAACGTTGTACCTTGCGGGACTCCACATTTTAATGACAACTCGTTACTGATGGAATCATTAATTTTTACCATTTGTTTTCTATTATTAAGATAGGTTGTAAAAAGAGACCCAGATATTCCGATATTGTTCATTTTATTTAAAAGTATGTTATGATCTACTGTGTCGAATGCTTTGGTTAAGTCGAGTTAAATAGTAGCGCATTTTTTCCCTTCTTTATAACCCAAATTGGTGCTTAAAGAATAGATTATTTGATTCTAAAACATCTAGTAACCTCTTTTTTATTATTTTTTCGAATATTTTTGCAATATTTGATATTACTGAGATTGGCCGGAAGTTACTATATGATGTAGTTGGACCTTTTTTGTGTATTGGTGTGATTATGGCTATTTCAAAGTTATCTGGTATTAGGTTTTGAGAAATATTTAGGTTAAAAATGTGACATAGGGGTATACAAAATATGGTATTATGTTTTTTTAATAAATCAGTTGTAATTTTATCAATTCCAGGAGATGACCCATTTTTTAATTACGAGATTGCTTTTAATATTTCTTCTGTTGTTAAAGTTTCAAATTTATTTAAAGAAGGCTTATTTTGGATTTCTGTATTATTTAATTCAGATGGAGTTATAAGGGGGGTGTTTTCAATTTTATGCTTTTGTATTTGTGCAACTAAATCTGATGGCACGTTAGCAAAATAATTGTTAAATTGATTTGCTAATATATTATTTTGTTTGTTTATATCTGTTGTATCATTAATTAATTTTATTAAGTTTTCAAAATGATTTTGTTTTTTATTTTTTGCAATTATATCTTTGATTATTTTCCATTTAACTTTTACGTTATTTCCGGAATTCAGTATTTCGGTTTTATAGTACGTCATCTTAGCGTTTTTTATTACATTGGTTCATTTGTTCCTAAATCGTATGTAGTAGCTTTTTGATTTCAGATTTAGAGGAAATTTTTTAACTTGTATATGTAAGCGATCTCTTTGTCTGATGGAATTAATAATCGCAGTTGTGGCTAATGGCTTTAAATTTTTAGTTTTAGATGAAATAGTTATTTCTGTTGTAGAGTTTTTTTTTTAGTCTATTTATAGTTTCAACCAAGTACTGTAAGGCTAAATTGACATAATTAAAGTCGAATATTTCCGACCAATTATGATTTTGAATCAGGTTAGTTAGCTAACAGTCATCAATTTTTAAGACTTTCAAGGGGTTCGGACTGTTATTACGGTTATCTGATAAGTTACCTATACTATAAGAGTCGTTGGGTAGTGATCTGCTATGTTTGTATGTACAACTATTGGTAACAGATTGTTATAGGATTTCGTTTTTAGAAATATGTGGTCTATACATGTTTTCGAGGTAGGTCTAATGATGTTTTTGATTAACGGTAAAAAACCAAACCGTGCAAATCATTAGCGAATAGGTAGTCTTCTTTAATTTTTGAGGGTTTAAGCAAATCAATATTAATGTCACCCAATATAGTTTTATATTTAGCGGCTATTAGGGTAGATCTGTATAATATGGTATAATTTAGTTCATTTAGAGCAGAATCAGCGTTACTATTGGGTGATCTGTACAGTGGGTATATCAGAAAATCAGTTTTTGATTTATTGAAGACAATTTCTAGGGCTGTTATATTCTGAATATTGAGTTCTGATACCGAGATAATATGTAATGTATTTTTTAAATAAATTACGACTCCATCATTTTTATTTTTATTACGCTCAGATGCATGAACCGTATAACCATTTATTTGGAAATTATTAATTGATATACCTTCCAAACCTAGCCAAGCTTCAGTTAAGATAATTACCTAAAATTTTGTTTCAATATTATCCAAAATAATACATGATTCATCAAAGTGTTTTTGTATACTGCAAATATTCATTGTAAATATGTTTATTGCATTTTGATTGTACATTACGGCGTCGAGATTATAATACACACATTCACACAACTCGTTGATGTTATCAAGAACTAATGCACTATCGGTGTTATAATTAGTATTCATAAAATAAAGTGAAATAATCATGACATGAGGGACATATATAGTAGTGTATTAGTTTAAAGTTCAATGAATATTTGTATAGATAATTAATGTGATATTTAGGGGTTAATAACCTGGGTAATGAATTGAAATAGACGTTCACTAATAAGACCTTC